CCCCACCGCCCCCTCCCCCCCCACCAAAATTGTAAAGTTTGTTTTCGACATAACTACTTGTACATCTCATTGTTGCAATGGGTCCAGTTGTATCCCTATTTAAACGATTTACAACTTCTTACTTGTTAGGATAAAATACTAATTTGTTTAGAGAGAACTATTTAGTAAATGAAGCCATTGGGTGTTTATAATTTTATTTTTCATGAGATTCCATGAAAATACTGGACACACTAAAGGTACTGTGGCTGTCTGTGAACCTATGAATTCATTTGTTATTCTGTAGAGTTGGATGTTATCTGATGAAGATCTTCTCATCTTCTGTACATGCTTACGGTTCATTTTTCTCTGACATGCTTAGTTTTCACTGCATCATCTTTCATCACTTGAGTGTGGTACAGTTGAGAGAATGGAAGGAAGGCCATGCAGCTTGTATATAATGAGTCAGGGGGTGGATTGCCTGAGTGACAAACATATCAGGAAAAATGCCTGAACTCCTTACATGAGCATAAGATTCTGATCACACTGGCCTTTCTCACCTTGTCTCCAATTGGTCACCTTGTACTTTCTCATGTAAAATGACCTGCAGAGTCTGCAAGATGTCATATAGTTTCTCATCTTTTCATCTTTATTAGCTCAGCCCCTCCCATCAATTTGTAATTCCATCAAATTCTATCAAATGCCATTTTGCCCATTCCAGTAACAGGGGTATTGCTTCCATTCCGTCTGTTCTTTGCACTATAGTTGGAGCAATCGTTTCAAAATGGCTATTTTCTTATTTTTAGGATGAAAAAACTTGTGTACCATCCTCTCAAAGGTTCTGTGTGCTCTTAGATTGCTTTAGCCCTCTTCTGCACGGCTAATGGTTCTAGTTCCTCTTCTTAACGCCAGCCTACTGCCTTCTTTTAGGAATTTACTCCTTCCACATTATTTCAGACCACAGGACCCTTATGTGTAATATTCTTGTATTTACTCTGCTCAGAATGCTACTTCTATACTTTCGCTCAACTAATTCTGTTCTTCTCTTCAAAAATTTATCTCAAACATTGTTTCTTTATGGAAGTTTCCCCTTATCTCTTTTGTCACACTTGTGATTTTCCATTTTTATATGATTTTATGATTAATAATTCTTTTTTTTAAAGTCACATGTTTAATATTGAAAGACCCCAGACTCACTGGGATACTTTCTTTAACGGGAGGGCACCCCAAGAACCAAGACTCCAAGCCAGCAGCTGCAATAAGCAAGAGGAGTTTGTTTGGCGTTTGCGCAAACGGGCTCTCTGTCTGAGGCAGACAGGAAGCCCCAAGCAGAGATTACAGGCTAATTTAAAGGCAAAAACCACAAGATTAACGCATAACACAAAGCATCCCATGATTGGTCCATTTAAAGGTCACCATATACACCAACAATCACTTTGCCACGCGGGAAATTTTGTAACACTCTTTGTAAAATGATTGGCGCGGGGGACTCAAGGGGGGTGGTTACTTTGGACAATAAGGGTTAGGGGAGTTCACATAGTTACAGACTTGTGATTGGTTGACATTTGGCTTAGCTTGTGGGCTTGCCAGGTGGTCATTATCTCAAAGTCCTGTCTGGGGAATTTCTAAATGGGAACTGAGGAACACGTATTGTCTGTTCTTTATCTACGACCACTGACCTAGTCCTGGGGCCGGCATCTGGTCCCTGAAACTTCTTAACTCATTTCTGGGAAGGGAAGGGTCAATGCTAGCGTAAGCAAGTTTACAGAAGTAGAATCAGCAGTTAGCAAATTGTAAAATGGATCCAGCCCTAATTTTTCTAATTCTTCAATATGATTAGAACATTAAGTCAGACATGGTGTAGAAAATGAAAAAGATAGACAACCCCTGGGGCTTTTGGCCAAGGGGACTCAAAACTGTGATTTTCTTTCTCCAGGAGGTAGACTATTTGAGGTATTTGAAAATGAGCATTCCTTGCCCTTGACTCCAAGGGCTAGCGTGTTTCAGCCACGGAGACAGTCCAAAGACATTTTGCTCACTTGCTTCACTCTGATTTGGATATGGAAGGTTACCTATTTCTGGGCTGGGAAGGTGGCTCAGTGGTAGAGCGCTCGCCTTGAGCTGAAGAGCTGAGGGACAGCGCCCAGGCCCAGAGCTCAGGCCCCACGACCAACAACAACAACAAAAAAAGAAAGTTACCTATTTCTATGTGGGCATTAGAAATGTAAAAAGGATATGAAATGCAAAGAATTGTCACTTGTGGTTGATATAATTCCTCCCTCCCTCCTTCCATCCTCTCAATCCGGTTTAATCTGGCTCAAAACCAGTTTAATCTGGCTCAGTCCGGCTTATACAGGTTTAATCTTGTTTGGAACCGGTTACATCCGGCTCAAACTGGTTTGATCCGGTTCAATCCGGCTCGATCCAGTTCGATCCGGTTCAAATCAGCTTGATCTGGTTCAATCCGGTTCTGGTTCGATCTGGTTCCATCCGGCTCAAACCGGATTCTTCCGGTTAGATCCGGTTCCATCTGGTTGGATCCGGCTCAAACCGGCTTGACGCCTGCGCGGCCGATCGTGGCGAGGGGAACGTGACAGGGCCGTGTCCCCCCGCGCGGGTTCCGTGCTGGGACACGGGTCCGGATGGCGTTCCCCTCCGTGGGGAAAGCGCGCCGCCCGATGTCCCCCGCGTTGCCCCGGACAGCTGTGCGGGTTCCCGGCTGGCGCTTCCTCTCGGCGGGCCAATGGCCAGGCCGAAGTCTGCCGGAGCCGGAAGCCCCTGGGCGCGGGATGGCCCCTGGGCGCGGGATGGCCCCCGGGCGCGGGATCGCCCCTGCCGGGCCCACGCGAGCCGAGGCAGCAGCCAAGTGCGGGAAAGGCTTCGGCCGGAAGTCTAATAGGATTTTCAAGCTCTTGGAAACTGGTCTTGTGTTGGTTTTGCTCTTTCTTTTTCTTTCATCGTCTTCTTCCTGTTTTTGTTGTAGTTGGTCTTTTGTCGGTGGTGGTCGGGCGCTTGAACTCAGGGACCGGCCTCTGACCCTGAGCTGTTCCGACGAAGGCCGCCACTCCACAGCTCCCAGCCACAGCACCCCTTCCGGTGAATTGCAGATAACAGTCTCACAGCCTTTCCTGTCTACACTGGCTTCAAACCGCGATCCTCAGTTCTCAGACTCCCGAGCAGCTGGGATTACAGGTGTGAGCCACCAGCGCTTGGTGCTTCGTTACATTCTTGGTGCCTAATATTTTGCTTAATGTGTAATCGTCATTCAGTCCATGTTTATGGGTAGAATCATGACTTGAATTTTCCCCTTTCTTTGCAGGTCTACCAGTCTCATGAACAACTGTTATTTGGAGAAGACAGAGTGACAGATAATTACGATATTTAATACTTGCCCTTCAGGCTGAAGGCAAGATTGGGTAATTTTCAATTCAAAATATCTTCAGAATTATGAAATAGAAGCTATACAGATTTAATTGAGTTAAAGCAATTAAAATACTGTTTCTTATTCCTCAGATAACAACTGTGAGCTTGAAGGAATGACTGAAAATAATCCACTCTCTTTAGAAGAACCCATGGCGTTGTTAGAGGCAATTTCACAGTTAATTCTGAATAAAATGCCAAGTGCAGAGTGAGTATTTTCTTAGAATAAAGATCTTTATTACAGAAAATGTCAGCATATCTGATGGTATCTATCTCAGCATGATCTTGTGCATGTGTATACATTATATCAGTATTTATACTTGTACGTAGTTATATATTAATGCATAACTGCCTATTTATTATATATAGGTATATATAACAAATTCATCTGCTGCTGGTGATAGTAATGTGATAGTAACAATAATACAGCTTTTAGGGGGAATTATTAAATCCAAATCTCTTTTTCATTTAACTTCTTTTTGTTGTTTGTTTTCTTAGGTATTCCAGCTTGTTGAATGACTTTGTTGAATCTGAGTTTTTTCTGATCGATGGAGACTCCTTACTGATCACGTGTATATGTGAGAAGTCACTGAAGCAGGGGCAGAGTCTCCATTTCTTCTACCTGGTTGAATGCTATCTCTTGGATCTCATTAACAAAGGAGGCCATTTTGCTGTAGTTTTCTTCAAGGTACCGTGTGATGGCTGGGTTTATGTAATATAAAGATTATAACTAAAATTTAAAGAGAGAAAGAGGAAAAATGATTCCCAAATCTTAGTATGTAGGAATTCTCATCCTTGAGAGATTTTTCTTTCTTGCTCTACCACTTGAGCTATACCCAGCTGTTTTTTGGTTTTAGTTTGTTTTTGAGCTGGAGTCTTGTTAATTTGCCTTGGATAGCCTTAAGCTGCAAATCTTCCCCCTTTTTGCTTCTAACTTTCCTCAGTAGCTAGAAATGCAGGTGTATTCAGAGTGTTTCTTTATTTTTAGAAACATTATTTACAATAATAGAACTTTATTGTCAGGACACATAAAATCATTAAAGTGGATAAGAAATCTCTGTAATGGCTCAGTTAATCTCTAGTTTCTAGTCTTCCTCCTCTGAGAACTGCTTCTGTCTTCAAAACTTAGCACAGAAACTTGAAGCTTAGGAAAGATACTAAACAAAACTTAGCAAAGGTACTTGAATCGCAAATAAAACATATTTGAGCCCACACATTCACTAACCCTGCTTTGTTCTTTTAGGAAATGCCTTCAAGACAATGTCATAGGTAGTGTTCCTTTTCTGACTATGAATATAAGGAATAAAGTTTTAACAATTTCAAATACAGATATATTTAACCATCAATAACCTCTCCTAACCCTAAAAGTAACTAATATGCAAAACCCTAAGATCCTAAAACCCCCAAAGTGACTAATGATACTCAATAGTTTTAGTCTGGTTCTTCTTGATCATGTTGCAATCACAATACTGTTATATTTTTGAACATTGTTGAGTGGTCAGCCATGATGTTGTTATGGTTTTGATTTTTGACTTTGAACCTAGGGCATACTCTACTACTTGTACCACACTTCTAGCCTTTTTATCCTTTTTTTTTTTTGGTCAGTTGTGGGGCCTGAACTCTGGGCCTGGGCACTGTCACTCAGCTCTTCAGCTCAAGGCTAGTGCTCTACCACTTGAGCCACAGTACCACTTCCGGTTTTCTGAGTGGTTTATTGGAGATAAGAGTCTCATGGTTTTTCCTGCCTGGGCTGGCTTTGAACCTCGATCCTCAGATCTCAGCCTACTTAGTAGCTAGGATTATAGGCTTGAGCCACCGGTGCCTGGCCTAGCCCTTTTATCTTTAGTTTGTTTTTGAGGTAGGGTGCCTTGCTAGTTTCAAAACTCTATCTTCTTGTCTCATCTCTGACTTCTCTGGGATTATTGGTGTGTCTCACCATTTCTGGCTTCAAGGGTTTGAATAAAGTTCTGGTGCTCTGATCTAATGTGTACAATCTAGTTGACTGTAGAGGTTTTGATCTGGTGAGAAAAAACTATGGGGCATAAGGACATTGTCTGTAGTCTGGAGCAATCCTCTAGAACAAAGGGATTCATTTCAGCTTATTCTTGCAGATAATTTATATCTAAATTTACTTTTCACCTTTTCTTTGGTCCTTTTGCTTTTTGGAATGAGAATGGAGAAGGAAAGGATTAGAGGAGGAAGAGAAAGTGTGATTAACATTGAGTGTGATATGCTGACCATATGCTGTCCATAAGTTTATAAATCTAAATTGTGTTTGGCAAACTTTTAGAGGCTATTCCTTGATTATATGACAGCATGATAGAGTTTTGTATTATACCTTTATGCTTTTAATGGGTGTGCTGGCCAATGACATTAGCAAAATACTAGATGATAATATCTAAGTAATGGACGTTACTATCTCCTTTTCCACAGGATGCTGAGTGTGCCTACTTCAGCTTCCCAGAACTTCTTCCTTTGCGAACTGCTTTAATTCTTCATCTTCAGAAAAATACCACCGTTGATGTTTGGACTGAATTTTCTAGATGCTTTTCACGAGAGTGGGAAACTTGCTTGAAAGAGACTTGCCCATATTTCCTGATAGTTGCAGATGAAGGCCTGAACCAGTTGCAAACACATCTTTTCAACTTTTTAATCATTCACTGTTGGGCGATGAGGGTCAATATTGTGCTCTTTTCAGGACAAGCATCTGGCATTCTTCGACTTTATGCTTACTTTCTGCCAACCTCGTATGATGATGTGAAACTTTTATCGAAGGTAATTTTTATATCTATCCATCTAAAAGAGACAATGTTCTTTTACAAAATTTTCTAAATTTCTTTACTTAGCTTCTTTTATAAAACTTCCTATATAGAAATAATCACAAATTTAATAGAGAGAAAGAAAAATCATTAATAATAGTAATAAATTAATAGCAATGATATAGACATAGTACATTATTGAGTACTTCTTGTTATACTGTAGTCTGGTACTCATGAGTGATTTTTATTTAATTTTCACAAAATTGTGTTATATTCCTCCCATATTTGGAAAAATGTACATTTGTCAATAGTAGTTCACAACTGTAATCCTAGTTTCTAAAAAGGCTGAGAGCTGAGGATATGGTTCAAAACTATGTTGAGCAGACAAATCTGAGAGTTTTTTTATTTTTACTTATTTATTTTTCATCTCCAGTTAGCAGTAAAAATCCCAAAGTGGAGGTGTGGCTCATGTGGTAGAGACTTGAGCATGAACACTAAGAGCATAAAGCTCTGAGCTCAAGCCCCATTACTAGTACACACACACACACACACACACACACACGCACGCACGCACGCGCGCACACACACACACACACACGTTGCCCTCTATGAGCAGGGACAGGCCCAGTCTTCATTTTCCTAGTGAGAGGAAGGAAATACTTTTTTTTTTTTGGTCTGGTCGTGGGGCCTGAACTTTGGGCCTGGGCGCTGTCCCTCAGCTCTTCAGCTCAAGGCTAGTACTCTACCACTTGAGCCACAGCGCCACTTCTGGCTTTTTTTTCTTTTTGCTTATGTGGTGCTGAGGAATCGAACCCAGGGCCTCATGCATGCAAGGCAAGCGCTCTACCACTGAGCCACCTTCCCAGCCCAAGAGGAAGGAAATACTTTTTATCCATTCAGTTCATTTTAATCTGTTAGAGAAATTTTTGCATCTGAATTTAAAGTGCCCTACAAACATTCTGTCCAGTCTCTGCTTAAGAATAGCTTTCCTTAAGGATGGAGTTTATTACTGGTAAAGAGAATTTATTTCTTAATACATTGAACATTGGCTTAAAGATGCAATTTCATTGGAGTCCAACTTGGACTAGAATTAAAAAAGACACAGGAATACATATTCAATGAATATTTATTTCAAGTCTAGTGGGAAGGCAATTTAAAACACTGATAATACCTATTGCTAGGATAGCATATGCTAGTGAATAAGATACGTTTTTATTCATTCATGTTGGTACGGAATTCATCATACCCTTATTGCATTAAATGGTTATGATGTTTCCTGTGGGTAGTTTTTACCAAACAGTCTAAAACTAGATTGTGTTGATGGTTACAAAACCAGGTAAATTTACTAAAATCCATTAAATTGTACATTTAAGAAGAGGGGATTTTCATATTATTTTATTTTGTTTAAAAACCTAATCCACTATATTCTCAGTAAAGATAGTGTTATGTATTGTATATTCTATAGTATTCTGTATTCTCAGCAAAGCAAAGATAAAGTAGTATTATATTGTCTATATCTATAGTATTCTCTATTCTCAGCAAAGATAAAGTAGTACTACTTGGCAGGCTTTTTACTGGTGACCCTCTCTAACAGTGCAATGTGTTTTACAGAGAACAATATTATAATACAATTATGTCTTAAGTATTTGATATTTTAAAGTTGGAAAATACTTAGATATTTTCTTTTTGGCGATGCACTTGACTTTCCTTTGCTTTACAGAATAGAACGCAGATTTGGACTGTGTACAAATCCCTGCTTAAACAATTGGAAGAGAACAGAACCTCTGCAGTAGCACCTCTCTTTAGAGATTTACAATGGGATACTGTGCTGGAAAAGGTAATGAGATTAAAAAATTTTAAAAATAGAATTGACTATTTTAATCACAAAACGTTTCAAAAATGGCAAGAGTTTTCATGACTACTCACAAAGTTTCCTCTGGTGTTAGTTTTCTTATATATCCATGGTGCAGTTATAAACACCAGGAAATTGCATTGACAGGATAGTTTCAATTAAGAGCTTAGGTGAATTTCACTTAGTTTATCACTGCTGCACTTTTTTCTGTATCAGGATTACTGTATCAGTATCCAGGAAAACATGTTCATTTAGTTGCTATGTCTCTCTAGTCTTCATTTTGTACTGGTTCTTAGTCAAGTCCTTGTTATTGAAAAGTATTGATCAGATCATATTGAATCTGAATGTAGATTGCTTTAGGTAGTATAGCCATTTTCACAGTACTTATTCTTCTAATCAACGAACATGGGAGGTCTTTCTATCTTCTGGTATCTTCTTCAACTTCTTAAGGTTTGATGGTTTTCATTGTTGAGGTTTTTCGCCTTCTTAGTTTATTCTTAAGATGTTTTATTCTTATTGAAGTGATTGTGAACAGAATTGTTTTCCTCATATTATTCCCAGACACTTAATTGTTGATGTATAGAAAAGTGGATCATTATTACATACACTGATTTTATATCTTGCTATGTTGATGAAAGATGTTTGTCAAATCTAGGAAGGATTTTTTTGGGGTGCAATCTTTGGATCTTTTAAGTACAGGATATTTCCATCAGTAAATAGGGATAATTTGATCTTTTTTTCCCCCTGTTTGAATCTCTTTTATTTCTTTCTCTGGCCTTATTTCTCTAGTTATGAGTTCCAGTATTATTTTGAACAAGAGTAGGGAGAATGGACACCCTTGTCTTATTCATGACTTTAGAAGAGCCTTTATCTGAAAGGTTTTGTGGCATCTTTTGAGATGATCATGTGAATGGTTTTCTGTCTGCGATTCTGTTTATGTGCTTTATTACATTTGTTGATACGTGTATGTTGAACCATCTTTGCATCTTTAAATGAAACCCGCTTGATTATGGTTTGTGATCTTTTTAATATGCTGTTGTGAATAAACATTTTTTCTAAATATCATACCATGTTATACTTATTTGTGACAGGCATCTGAGACTATATCACTGCTTAAGAAACTCTGGCCAGAAAGATCTGATGTTCAATGTGTATTTTGTGTTACTTCATGTTCATTATTTTTGCAAATAAATCATGACTTTTTACCCAAGAAAAAGAAGGCCATTTCTTCTAAAAACAACAACAAACAACAGGTAGGTTCCTTACAGCTTTACTAAGAAACACCATCTCTCTCTACTTTTAGCCTTGTTTTTTTTTTTTTTCTACTATTGGGGCTTCAATTCCTGTTTTATACTATTGGGCCTCATGATTGCTTAGCTTACTTGCTTAGCTGGCGCGCTGTCATTTGAGCTAGTTTGATTTTTATTGGTTATTTTGGAGATAAGAGTCTTACAGGCTTTTCTTCTCTATGATCCTCCATAGCTCCAACTCCTACGGGCCCTTGGGAATTGTACTGTGCTCTTGACTTTTTTTTTTAAAAAAGGTATTTTGCCCCTGGAGCTCTCAGCAGTGTTTCAAGACAAGCATTATTATCCCTAGTTTACAAGTGGAAACACTGAGTTTGAGATATTTCGGGTAGTATTCAAACTGAAGGTGTGAATGAGCAATGAGGATGGAATGCAAGAGTGGCAGGTGCAAGTTTCACAATACCACATTGTCCTTTTAAGAACCATTTCTGCTATGGTTCTTGTCTTTTCCTGGCTGGAGAGAGTAATTGCGGTTATGGTACTTAGCTTTCTGCTAAGGTCAAAAATCATTTGACCAATCTGGATTCAAGTAAACATTCATCTCTGCATATGTGTATACACACACACACATCTGCATACTGTTTTGTATGCAATTGAGTTACGAAGGATTTTTGTTGTTGTTGTTTTTGGTTGTGGAGCCTGAGCTCAGGGCCTGGACACTGTCCCTGAGCCTCTTTGGTGCTCAAGGCTAATAATGCTCTACCACTTGAGCCACAGCACCACTTCTGGCTTTTTCTAAGTAGTTTATTGGAGATAAGAGACTCACAGACTTTATTGCCTGGGCTGGCTTCAAACTGCAATCCTCAGATCTCAGCCTCCTGAGTAGCTAGTAAGAGTCACTGGTGCCCGGTAATTGAAGATTCTTAATGAAGTTTTAGCTCTTTCCTCCAGAAATGGATGGTGAGTATTACCTTTTACTTAATGCTTCTATTTTATTTGCCATTAGGTCCTTAGTGAAACCTGTCTACGTATTGAGGTGCCCTAAGCACACTATTTAAAATAATTATCACAAAAATCCTATCAGGGCAAATCAATCTCCGTGATCTTTTCTACCAATCATGAGACTGCTTGGCTCTTGGAAGACTCCTGGATGCCATCTTACTTCTGTTTTCTGTAAATGCTTGAAGACAATGGTGACATCTTCATCCAATCATGCGCTGTCCACTTCTTTCCATTTGTCCTGAACACAGATATATTGCCATCCTGGTGTCCTCTTCCTGGTGATGTGCAGATACAGTGTGAGAGCATTCTTTCTGGAACAGAAGAGAGCCATTAGAATGTAGCTGCACCAGGCAGAATCTGGTAGAGTCTTGATCATATTAGCTGCTTGCTGAGCTTTAAGACTTTGCTGAACAAAGTCTGACATTACTGCTATTATGATTGGAAACTTCCTTTTCCCTTATCTCCACCATGCAAATACAGGCTAGGTCATGTACTGCCTCAAACAATGAAAACAAATGGCAATTCCTATTCAGCAAAATGTAGCTGCCCATATTTGTGGTTCTGCTTGTTGCTTATATGATTTCACAGTTTCCTGTTCTCTAGATTACCTTTCTTATTTTGTTTAGGGTTCCTGCTTAGGCCTGGCGGAGATGAAAGATTTTTGCAAACTTCATTGTCTCACTATGGCTTTTCTACTTAACTTACCTCTTCCTCAACGAGCTCGTTCTAGATTCATCACAGCTCCTTGGATTAAGGCAATTCAGACTCTCTTTAAAATGGTAAATGTACCCTTTATTGGCTTATAATTTGTTTCAGTTATTTGATGTATAAAACCACAGTAACCTTAAATGGAGAACAGTGTTAGCTTCTTGGAATTTTTAAAGATTTGATAACCTAAATCGATCACTTGAGTTTATGTAGCAATGACCAATAGCATGATAGCTACACAACTGAAAGAAAATGCCTCTTTCTTTGGTGCTGGTTTTGGGGTTTGAATTCAAGGTCTGGATACTCTTCTTGAGTTTTTGTTTTTTTTTCTCATGGCTAGCTCTCTTGAGTCTACTTGAGTCACAGCTCTACTTGCAGCTTTTCTGTGATAAATTGGAGTTTAGAGTCTCATGAACTTTCCTGCCTGGGCTGGCTTCAAACCTGGATTCTTAGATCTCAGCCTCCCGATTAGCTAGGATTGTAGGCATGAGCCATCAGTGCCTTACTTGTAATTTTTTTTTACAACATTGGTTATCAGCATGTCTATGTTAGCATTTGTCTTAAAATGTATATAGCAGTTATTTATCTAGTTCTCTAAAATAGATTATTAAAAGGATCTTGATATTCATAATACATGCTATTGGGGTTTTGTGTGTATGTGTGTGAGTTGACAAAGACTTCTTTCTTTTCTTTCTTTGTTTTAGGATCTTAATACATATTATCAGAAGGTTTAAGGAAAAATTTTTATACTCAATCAATAAGGAATCCAGACCATAAACATCTTCCCCATTCATATGCATTTTGCTAATCTTGGAATAGAGTGAGAAAAAAAAACATACTTACCCACCCCACATTAACTCCTCAGGGAGCACATGTTACAGAGAAAACAGATAATTAATTTAAATCATTACTATGAAAGAGTAACTTTAGGATACTTTAGAATCTTGACAGTGGAAAGATCCAACCTAGTCTTCCAAGCATATCTTCTCTTATGAAGAAGTGAAGGGAACCCAAGACCTAACGGTTGAATAGGAGTTAGTAGTATATACCAGGAATGGAAATTGTATTCTGGGAATTGAAATAGCATGTGTGATTGTCTTGGGAATAGCATGACCAAGGACTTGAGATCTGCTTAGTGTAGCAGGAGCAGAAAGAATGAGGGTGGGCTACGATGAAGCCAAAGGTGGGATCAGACTAAGTATGGGATGCTACAGGTTGAAAAGAGAATGGATAGATAGCTTTTAAGTCAGTTTTGATTTTATCTTATGCTTCAATCTTTCGAGGAATAAGGCATTCATCACTAACCAGCCTGAATAAGCTTATATATCAATAAGCATTGAGACAGGCCTGTCTGCTTCTCTTTCAGTCAGATTATAAAGGGAGATGATGTCACCGTATACTTTAAGGAAATTGATTATAACATGGATTTGTTTTCAAATTTCAGAAAAAGTGGTGTGACTATTTCATCTTAAGTAATAAAAGCCTCTTCAGATTTTGGGATCTGAATTCTATTTACCTTTCTGACCTAACTGATGATGTTTTGTTGAAGAATATTGCTTTTTACTATGAAAACGAGAATGCTGACGGTATTATCTGATGATATAATAATAATAATTATATGTTGACCCAAGGATAAACATAATATTGAGGAAATTTTAATTGCTTTCCAAGAGATCAATTTTTTGTATATTTGATATGTGTAATTCTAATTTTTTCTTTGAATAATTTATACTTCTTAATAGTTAAAGAAAAAATATAATACGTTTTCAGAAAATGGCATCAGCATTATTGAAACTTCTCTGATCTCTAAATTTGATTCCTTAATATGTCACCATTGGGGTAAATTGGCAACATGTAAAATGATGATCCTTATTAATGTTTATCTCTCAAAACAACTATTTTAGTATGATCAATTGTACAGTTATGCATGGTATATTTATTATTTGAAATAATAAATATCTAGTGCCAATAGAAACAATATTGGTTAAGATAGGATAATTATAATATTAATACTTAATTATCAGTCTGAAATCCAAGATTAACTTAAAAATTTGTTACCACATAGTCAAAACTAGTGACTATTTTCATTTAGTCCAGTGTACAACTCACTAAAATGTTCACTTTTTGATTGGTATTTTGGAGGTTTATGAATTTAGTCAGAATATGAGCTTCTGTGCATTTGTGAATGTGTTTTAATACTTACGGTTGTTCACTATTATGTAGGCCTACATTTGCATCTGGGAAAAACCATTATGAAAGATTATGAATATCTTTGGAATACTGTGTCAAAGTTGGTAAGAACGTTTGATGTGGGGAAGCCATTTCCTTTGAGAACATCAAAACTTCATTTTCTTAAAAAGAAACTATCACCCATCAAAGGTAAGAGATTTGTAACTTAATTTGAGATTAAAGCATTGTTCCTTTGAAAAATGTGTTTATACTCAATGCTGTGAGTATAGTTAATTTTGTACTACTTTGAATTTTAATAATTATCATGTTCTTGGGTGGCAAGCTATGACTATAATTTTGAAAATGTATGTTTTGCTTGTAATTGATATTATTGCCAATTTAAGAACCATCTCTAGATAGATGTGAGTTCCATTTCCAGTAATATGGTGGTCTAAATCAATTGAAAACTTTCTTAGAATTGGATCAGCTGCAACACTTCTTGATATGCTGGAGAAGAGATACTCAACATCATTTTACATAATTATAGTTAAGCTCAAAATAGAATGAGGAAATCCACCAAGGTGACAGGAGCCATTAATCCCAGCACTTCAGAGGTTGAACAATCACTTGAACCAATTTAGAAACTCACCTGGGAAACACACAGTGAGACCTTCTCTTATAACAAAATAATAAAACAAATATCAGAAGAAGACTTTCAGGGGCCAAAGAATAAAGGGTGATCTAATAAACCTTTTTATAAGTCAATGCTATCTGCACCGTGCTCCCCGCCCCCCCCCAAATGCTTGTATTCTCTCTGGGTCCAAAAATTATAGACGACTCTAAGAGCAGATAGTATCAAAGTGAAATTTCTTTTCTTTTTTTATTGTGAAAATAACATACAGAGAGGTTACAATTACATAAGCACGGTAATGAGTACATTTCTTACCAAGCATTGTTGCCTCCTCCTTCGTTTCCCCTTACCATTTCTATCCATCCCCTCCCCACCTCACGCCAAAGTTGTAAAGTTCGTTTTTCAACATAACATCTTGTACATCTCATTGTTGCAATGGGCCCACCTGTATCCCTATTTAAACAATTTGTTTTTTTCCCTTCCCAAATTATACCAACATCATATACAGTGAAAACAGGTGTTATACTGTGGGGGAGGGACATAGAAAGCAACAAAACAATCATCTTATAAATATGTTAGAAACAATAGCAAGAAAGAAAAACCATTTGAGTCCTTATCTTGGGGTTCATTTCACATAACATCAACTTATCTGACCGTTTCTGCTTGTCTCAGACATATACTAGTTATTGCAAATAAGGGAAACCATGGGACCTATGTTTCTTTGGGCCTGCCTTACTTCACTTAATATAAT